GACGAAAGTTCGCAACAATAAAAAGTATACAAGATATATTCATCGTAAAGGTGATTTACAATGTTATTTAAATTCTCAAGTCGAATCCCTCCCCCTTTTTTCCTATATTTTTTACTTAAAATTTTATATCTTTAGACTTTTAAAAATTAAAAGAAAAAATCTCCATAGTTTCGGAATAGAATATTAATATTTTATAAAGGAACCGAGTAGTAATTTATTGAAGAAATTTCACTACACATCTAAACTCTTCTTTCCTTCTTCGTGTTCGTAAAATAAATGTTTTATTCCGGTCACGTGATTGATAGTTGGGGAATGAAATTTGCAAAATGTTCTCTCTCTTTCTCTTTCCCTCGCAACATCCACGCTCATTTTTTACACTTAGATTTTGATTTAGGACGGCTAGGATCACTATTTAATAAGATTTTCTTGATAATTCGATCACTTTCTTCCTTAATTTTGTTAGAAAAATTGCCCAAACGTAAGTTATCTATGCCTATGGGTGATTATAATCTGGTGGCACATTTAAAGCGAGCACCAATAGACACGTGTAGGCTATATTTAGCTTATATTATAAAAGTTTTACATATTTTGGATATAACCGACAGCTGTTTTATTAAAAGTTATAAAGTTTTTTTAAATTATCTTTGCTAGGATTTCGAGGATATTTTATAGGTTTTGGTAGGTTGTAGTAAACTTTTATATATATTTTGATAGACTCTAGAAGACTTTTTTTCATATTTTTCTAAGTTCTGGTGGGATAATTTAGTAATTTTTGGAGGATTTAATTGATCTTTATATTAAAAGATGCATAAAGATCTTTATATTATTTTATAGGTTCTCTTGGACTTTTACATATTTTGGTAGGTTCTAGAAGATATTGCATATATTGGGATTTGTTTAAGAGAATTCTATTCTTATTTTAATTAGGCTTTTTCAAAATTTCAATTAATGCCTCTTTTTTAACCAAATGTTTTTCGTGTTTAATATTCTAAAGGATCCACGTCTGAATTTAGCTTCCAAAGTTGTCGGTTAAACTTTGTTATCTATTTCTTTCGACTTATATAACATTGATTTATAATTCTTAATCGCGCCGTTTTATATTAACTAAAGTAGGAACTAGAAAATAACTTTTTAATCGCTGTTCCGACTGTTAATTTAATGCCTTTCTTTCAGAATTGCATCGTCTCTTAGTTGACACATCTGACTCGCCCCTATTTGTCTCTTCTAATGGGTTCAAAAAGCAGCAACACGCTCTCCTCTACACATTTTTCTGTTTAAGATGAAAGATTTCTTTCGTTTTCAATTTTTTCCCTCCTCTTCTTCTCCTCGAGGGAAAAATCGTTGTTGTAATCCTCAAAGACACGAAGATGGAATCGTTGAGTTGTACTCCACTTAAGCTGTTAATAACCGTATAAATCCCACTCAAATACTTTGAAACCTTTTCGACTGATCTGAAAAATTACTTTGGCAATTTAAAAGTTAACAACATAACTTTAAAAAAAAATAAAAAAAAGGAGAGAGAAAAATCATAACACTTCTCACTTACTTAGAAAAAGAAGCGTAGAAAGCATCTTCCATCAAAAAACACCTTCTTTGCATTATGATTTTTTATCTTTCGAGTGATTTTTATTATGTAAGACGTCGTCATTCATCGCTCGTGTTACCTTTTTTACGCTATGTGTATATCCAAAAAATCAAATTTTACGACTCTTTACAAGTTTAGCGACGTTTTAAACTAGTATACTATCGATGCAACGCGTTCTAGGCACGAAAATGCTTCAATCCTTTGCAAAGCATTAATTAACAAACGTGGCATTAATGCCATATTATATTCTAAACATTAAATAGTATTTAAAAAAATATAAAGTTAAATTCGATGTTTAAACTTCTAGACGCCGTAATAACTTTAAAATAAATTAATTTATATAAATATTCATACTTCTAATATGCTTGGCACACTGACATGGCGCCAAGTTTAACAGTGTGCCAAGCTTATTAACTTATGAAAAATTGCATGATATCAAATTTATCCTTAGAATTCATAAAAAGTACTACAGAAACTCTCTAAAAATGTGTTCTTTCATGAATATCCATTACTTAATCTTGTGTGCCAATATGGCGCCTACTCAGCTTCAGTCAATATATTTAAATTTATCTTCGAAATTGGTGAGTTTGGATTTATCTATGTGTTCCAATTTAAGAGTCGGACCACCTATAGAACTAACGGCGCCATTACTATACGATCCGTTCCGAGTTCGCGCGATAGTAGAGGTACTGTACACCTCATAAGCATATCGTGACACGAGTCCAAAGGTTTATCGGGCACGAAGGGAGAGGGGTAGAGTATCTATTACCCTAATGGACACGATACCAAGAGAATACCATAATTCAATTTACTCCGTTCGCATCAACAATATGTATAAATGTAGTCCACTAATTTGACTTCGGTCTAAGTATAATGGACGTCTGTGATTCACACAACTCGTTAGCATCGTGATTCATGAATATAAATGATGGACACATAGGAGAACGAAAGGTTTTCGCGTGTTCAATTTATCTATAGGAAGACCAGAGAAAAAATAAAATAATAATAAAAGAAAATATGCCAAGTCACCACAGACTAATAAATATTTTAACGATCCAATATGGCGTCCAATAGTGTCATTATCGAGAGAAAAACCTATCGATTTTTCTTGGTTACGTCGCCTTATCTTTTTGCTTTGGAATAAAAATGACTAGACAGAAAGTAATCTCTCTCATTTATGTTTTTCCTACAAATTTATGTAGGGGAGCGAGAGATTACCGGGGGTGGATTTTATCTGATATGACTCGTGACAATGCCTTCTGTCGATTCCCTCGATTTGCTAATCTATTGCCATCGTTGTCCGCGAAAGGAGTCCCAAAATATGCTGCCCCGCAGTCCTGCCAATAGAGCTTAAACTCGAAAACTTTAAAGTTTCCCTTCTTGCAAAGTAGGCCTATACAAATGCCAAACTATTCTTGTGGAAGCGGTGCTTAGTTTTTAAGTTTCCGCTTCAACTTCTTTAGAATTCTTCAATCAACATTTACGTTATTATTGAATGGTTTGAGCAAAAGCAATACTTGTGAATGACAGAAACATGTGGTTCGAGTAGCAACAATACCGAAAGCGTCATAGATCTGTTCTATTAGTTGGGAGTGCACATTTTTTATGCAAATTTCAAATCATTCCTAAGAATTTCTCAGTAATATTAAAAAGATGACGTCAAAGCAACGCAAGAATGTGCACTACTCCCACCAAACTAACAGATCCCATACAGAGCCACGTGGTGATTATCTAAAAAAAAGTATTTTAGAAAAGAAAATTGTATTTCGAATCATCCGAAATCTTGCATAATTTAAAATTTAACACATATCGAGAGGGACAAGTATTCGTGATTTATAGCCCTTTTATCACAGCATTACGAGTCAAAGTTTCGGCTATTCTATTGAAAATCATGACTGTAGAAGAAGGGAACTGTATTTTTGAGTAGAAGTGCTTAAATGATAGATTGTACACGTGTAACACTGGAACCAAGAATGTGTTCTAACTTGTAACATAATCCTGATGAAACATTCACGTAGAAAATTGATCTTATCGAGATTCTCGACTCTTCACAAGTGGGATTTAATGCAGCTAATAAGTACAGAACGTTGGTTAAATACAGTTAAAGATTATTTGATTAATTAAAAATCCTAACAAAAAGCAAGCGATCTTCTCAGAGAATATTATAATTTTTGCTATTCTTGATATATAGTCTTATATTAAACTACAGTTGACCTCCTGTAACACTGTTGATAATTCCGTGTACGAGTCACTTAGATTTTACAAATACGTGAGCCGTTCACAGCCCAGCACACGTATTTGCAAAATCTAAGTGACTCGTACAGCGTGAAATTTATATAACACGGAATTATCAACAGTGTTATAGAGGGTCAACTGTAATAGAAGAATTATTAACAGAAATATCTCAAATTTTCTACAGAAAAGATTTATTAATTCATTAAAATTAATTTAATATCCCGAAACCTGATTCAAACGAATTACTTCTTACAGCAGCCAAACGAAGCTCGACATAAATTCGATAACTTTTATTTATTTCTCTATTATTTTTGGGGGGTCGAAGCGAAGATTTAGTGAGGGGCGTTATATATCACCGAAAATTTAACTTTTATTGACAGGAGCTCGCTTCGGAAGTCGATAAAAATGGTGAAAAATTTTGATTTCCAAAGCGCCAATACGACATTTATAAAAAAAATCGATGCTCGATAATTATATAGACGAAGATCCGTTGTGACGTCACAATTACTAATTGTAAAGAATGACAAATGCTCGTGACTCATGACCCATCATCGGGCGAGGTGGAGAAGAAGGGAGGCGACAAATGTACTTTGAGAGCTACCAATGATCGACAATAGATTGGTACAAAAAACTCCCGAAGGTTGTACTCTTTACGCATTACACTATGGAGCTTTACGCTCCTTCTGTTAATTTTATTGCTGCTCGTGCTAGCCACTCAATCGAGAGTAAACTTGACATCATAAAAACTCATTTGTTACGTTATTCCGAGATTTAATCTTTTTCTAAAAAGTATTACGCTTCAATTGTGTAATCTAGAGATTTTTTTTTCTTCCGAGAGACTGTAATACCGTTTACCCGTTTTTAAACACATTAATGAATCATTACGATGATGTTGAAGGGTAAAATTTGTGTGTTTAGTCTTTCGCATCCACTTTTAGCAAAATGTAGCATATTAAACTATGAAGTACTGTTTGTATATTTATACCTATATGTCTGTCTGTGGTGTGAACGTACGAATGTTTATGCTATACTCGTATTTGTGTTTGTACTGTACTGATCACTTCTACGGCTAAAACTTACTTTCTATAAATTTACCTAGCTGTTCTTCAGAACCGAAGTTTTAAGTTGAAAAATTCGAATTAATTAAGCAGTGATACTGATTATTTTTTATTATTTTCAGGTAAAAAAATGGCTTAGCAATCCTCAGAATGGACCGAAAATACATCTTTCTCGCAATTCTCTCTCTATTGAATGCTTCAGATAGCAGAAAGTGCCCAGACGACTGTAGATGCTACGAAAATCTAGAACGTAAATATACAGTGTGTGAACTAGGAGGCCTAAAACAGATCCCAACAACAGATATGGAAAGTGACACACAAGTGCTAATTATCAGTGCTCCTAGAGACAAGCCAAACTATTTAACCATTGGTAGAATATTCCTCAAGTTTTCAGATCTTCGCGAGATCAGAATCGTGCAATCTAACCTCCCTGCTATCGGTGACAGTTCTTTTTGGCCCGGTGACAAGCTGTTACTACTAGATCTAAGCCACAACAACATTACAATTTTAAGAGACACGGACTTTAATGGATTAGAAAATCTGCGGGTGCTAAATTTGAGTTATAATCACATTTCTGGTATCCCCTCTGCACCTTTCCGCCTACTCAAGAGTTTGAAGACTCTGTCACTGGGTAACAATCGTCTACGTGGCCTCGTACCTCGCTCGTTTTATCTCCTACCCGAATTAGAAGTGTTGGACCTCGGCGGTAACCCATTAAAAGATATTGACCCAGAATACATGAAGGACGTCAAACCGTTGAGGAAACTCGTCCTGGCAGGATGCCAGTTAACAAGATTGCATTCATTGATCTACCAGCAACTACCGAACTTGGAAGAACTCGATCTAAGAAACAACAAGTTCAAATTTTTTTCTCCCGAAGAATTTAGGTACCTTAAGAGACTTCGCGTCTTACGCTTGGATGGCAACAGCTTGACGGTGATCGTCGATAAGACGTTTGATGGACACAACTTGGATCATTTGGGCCTATCAGGGAATAGAATACATAGGATCACACCGTGCACATTTTGTAACACGTCCATCAAAGAGTTGGACTTGTCTAACAATAGCCTCATTTCTCTGAATGCGGATGTCTTGGCACCTCTGGTTCCATCTCTCTCCTCACTAAACATAAGCCACAATCCTTTAAACCCCAGGGTCATCACGGCCGTCCTGAAATTATTGTACAGATTAGAAAAGTTGAATATAGCCGGAATGGGATTAACTCAGCTTTCGGATGATACTTTATCCAAAAATCGGAACTTGAGGCACTTAAATGCTTCTCAAAACAAATTTTCCAATGTTTCTTATAAATTATTGGCGCCACTTAAAGCGTTACAACTTCTAGATTTGTCAAAAAATAACTTGAGGTGGCTCTATCCCAAATTACTAGAGCAGTTGAGCAATGCAACAGACCTAAGTGTGTTGCATCTCGAGAACAATCCCTGGTTGTGTCAAGAGTGCCATATCGTCCCGTTATTGACGTGGAATTCCACTTTAAACAGGTGCGAATTTGGTCAAGAATGCCTGCGTTGTGCTCAACCTCCCAGTTTAGCCGATCGGATACTTCAAACCCTGCAAATGGAGGAACTCCAACCCTGCGCCGTATCTCTTACTCAACCTATAGTATTGCCAGCGACTTCCAACATAGGTGTGGTCGTAGCGGTGACCATCATTATCATCTTGTTGCTGATTGCAGTGATAGCCGTGGTTCTGTATAGACAACAAGGAGCAGTTTACTACACTCACGAAGAGGAGCGTAACCACGATTATTCATTCGATCCTTGTTTCAACAGGAACGGGGGTGACAAGAGATTGGCCTTTATTAACATGGATAGAATAGAGGAAGCCCCAGAAGATAGGCAAATCAGGTCGAACGTCAGATGAGCCATATTTTATTAGTAGTACATTATAGGAACCATATCGTGTGTTTTAAAGTTGGGGCAACGGATGCCGCTAAACGGGACCAAGTTACTTAAACGTACCCAAAATCAAATTTTACATAAAATTCAATGGTTCTGGTGGTGAAAGATTCATATTTTTTTGATAAAGCCTGTTAATAATAGTTTCTTTTCTTCCGTTATTGTGATAGATCATGTCAAATTTTAGTGGTTTAGTACATTTGTAAAAGTAGCTTAGAGTAGGCCATTTCTTGAAGAAAGACGAAAGGAGGCGAAAAACTCTCATTTTTTCATCAAAAAACTCTAAAAGCACGAGTTTTTTTAAACAGGAAAGAAGAATAAAGCTTTGGAGGAACCATTTCTTGGGCTTTTGAAGGTTTTGTAGAGCAGAATTTACATTCTTTTTTATAAATAGAATCATCAATTATCCGAGAGACGGGACTCTGTCGTCGCTCTGCTGACATTCGCAACAGATATGAGCTTTAAATAAGTAGAATATATTATAATATTGCATTTCTAAGTTCTGTCGTTCATAAAATTAATTTTAATAACTTTTAGATTTTATTGGAAACACGAAGAAATTAAAATAAAAAAGTGTATTTCGCGTCGCTTCCAAAGTGCCGCGTGTCATTGAACTCGACAATACAATTTTCTAATGAATAAATTTTAAAGTTTGAATTAAATCTGGTCAGATATAAGAAAAGTATAATAATAAAAGTTTTAAATTTTTATTTGTAATTCTTTTCTCTAATTAAATCGACGGCAATACAATCGCAACGCGGAAATAATAAACGACGTAGAAATTCACAATAATTTATTTAAAAGTTAGGTTAGAAAACCATAAATTACCTACTTAAAACCGTCTTTAATTCAATCTAAAGAAAAATACAGTGTTTGGACTTTGATTAGAGTCGCGACGCCACCCCTAATAAGATAAATTTCGTCGTTTTGTTGAAAATAAGTAAATAGAAATCATCAAAATAGAAGCAACGTTTAAAAATTTAACGCCTTCGAAACATTAAAAACAAGCAAACGAGCTTTAAAAGACTTTAAGCACGCGGCTTTTGACAACAAATATCATTTAATGTGATAAATAGGTAGATGGTAGATTATTAAAACCCCCGTGTTTTTATATCAATTTATTGCCTGCTCTACCGACGTATAAACAACAGAAACTAAACCATTTTCCTCACAAAATTAAATGCAGACGCGATTTTAATCTAAAACTTTGGTAACTTAGAGAAAACAAACGAAAAAAACACCAGAAGTGACGTGAGGGATGCTTCAATTAAACGAGACTTCACTCTAATAAAGCCAACTTATAAAATATTTAACCACTTTTAATAGAATATTCTGTCTTCTAGAAGGTTATTAAAATAAATTCACTGCAGAAAATAATTAAAAAAAAACAGTTTATTTTTAAAAAAATGTGCATAAACACGTCGAAAATGGATTGTAAAACACTTTAAATTGGCTTCGACTCCATTTGAAAAATGGCGATTAGTACTTAAAATAATTAACCCTGTATATATTTACTTTCGAGACGAAGTAAAATATATTTAAAAAAATAAGTGAGAAGTGCACTTCGGCATTAATGCATTATATATGAGGCTTAAAAAGTCATAACTTGTCACTTAAGCGAATGAATAGAAATGTTTCATTAATCACCTCCATTAAGGATGATATTTTTTACAATTATGCTCTTTAGTAAATGAACTTAATAAATTTTTCATAAATTTCAACAAATTTTCAAATTATTTTTACATATTTTGCTTAATTTTTCCATTATTAAATCATTTTATTTAAATAAATGTAATTAATAAATATTCTTCTGTAATAAATTTAAATTAACCAATAAAACATACTTTATTTATATTACCCAATAAACTTCGCGTTAGTTTATTCTAATTTCGTCGAAAGCATTTTTACTGGTTTAAATGATCGTCTTCGTAATTAACCAATAATGCTTAAAATATTTATTATACGTAACAGTTTTCATTTTTCTTAATTCGAGCCGATTGGTTAAAAGAAATAATGACGTAGCAATTAACTTCGTAGAATACTTGTTACGTCACACGTTTTAAATACTTAACTATAAATCGAATTTGATTGGATAAATTTTGATTTAAAGCCTTAATGACGTGTCATTTAAAGTAACCAATGACGTTTAACAATTTCGTAACGAATGCAAATATTTTTTTATTTCGAGCCGATTGGATAAAAACTGCCAATCAACCAATTAAGTTTATAAGCTAAATTACACGATATTTTATAATCATTTATTGGTTTAAATTGAACGTAATTGAATAAAAAGGAACCAATAACGTTGCGATTTTTAAAATTTTATAAAATTTAAGTTTTTTCAGTGTTAATCGATTTTAAATTAAAATTTATGTATTTTTCTAGAAACGATTTAAAAATTCCTTATTAACAAACTTTTAGATTTATTATTATTTTTCTCGTTTTAACTGAACAAAACTATTGGAAGACATGCTTCTGACAGTTTGGATGGATGGACTCTTAAGAAAGAAACGACAAAATGGAAGTTACTTCTATTTAAAAATAATTTTTTTCTCCTTTTGAGAACGGAAAAAACACACGAAACACCACTAATACTCCGTGCATAAAGCGAGGAGAGAGGAAAAAATCGTTAAAGTCTGCACTCTTTTATGCGAATTGTTTGCCTGAAAAAACTCGCTAAAAACAAATATTAAAACGGTTTAAGTGGTAATAAAGGAATAGCAAAGGGTGGAATGCGATGTGGCGGAAGCTTTAGGAATGTTCTAAAGTTGAAATATGGCGAAATTGGAGACATACTTTGACGATTTACCCAACTCATAATAGCAATGAAGTTTATATTACTACTGATAAAGACGTTTACTTGATCTAAATCGGTTGTTAAGCATTCGTTCCAGTGAAAAATCATTATATCGCACCTTATAACGTACGTTTACTGAGAAACAAATCGAAAGTTTAATTTAAAACTTAACCAATTAATTTCGCCGTGTTGGCTTCTGTTGGATGGGAGTGTGTGAAATACAAAAATGTTTCCCTCTTAATTAAGTTTAACTTCTTTGATTATTTTCCAACAACTAAGTTTGTTTTTAACAGAATTATTTTTGTCTTTTTAGTAAGTTAAAACCGAAACGGAAGATCTAATTAAAGAAAACGTGTACGGGTGATCTAATATTTTTTTCATGTCTCAATCTTCCTTTCTTTTTCTTTACTTTGATATATATTTCTGATGGGTAATTGAAGATAATTTGTTTAAAAATACAATAATTTGGCTGAAAGTAAAAAGAAAATGCACTTATTTCTGTTTAAAAATCTAGACGGATGAATTATATATGCGCTCTTGTATCTTACGTCATCAGTCAGCAGGGAGGAGTTTTATGACAGTCGGGTGACGTCACTGGGCAGGTGTTTTTTCGTCTGACACCTGGTTAGGTCAAAAGGTGACCAGGTATAGACCCTACTCGGTTAAACCTTTTGTACAATGAAGAAAAGGATGATATGTATTTGCATTTCAACACTCAATTTGAGATGTTAATCAATACCATATTAAATTTCTACATCCAAATATTCCCCTTTTAGGAGACGCCGAGTCGTAAATTTACTCGTAGGCCCATCGCTTAAGGTTTACGAGCACTTATGGTAAAAACAAAGCCCAAAACACGTACAGGAAGTAGCCACAAGTCAAACAATATCCCTTTATAGAGAGCAGATGCGCTCGTACAGTGTATTAATGGTAGCAATTCAATAATAGGTAACCTATTAAGATCGTAAAAGAGGATCATTAATAGTTGTTAGACTAATGGAAAGGGGCCGATGGATAAAGCGCTGCCATTTTAGAACGTTTAACTTGTTACTTATAACAGAGGAAAAATTTGAAGCTCTTTGTTTTAAAGTAGTCTCGAGCCATTGTCCAGGTTATAGAAAGACATCGACATCATCAGTAGCAACTATCAATGAAGGGCGTGTCCAATAAAGAAAGCTTTTGTTGGTCATCGCTGTCCATCCGACTTCTTTTATACCACGACAAAAGTCGCTGTCAACGGGTTTAATGGCGTGAAAAATAGTTCCAAACCGTGCCCAATTTTTCTATCGGAATACCGCTAGGAATTTAAATGCGAGATTGGTCTCAATTCGATCCAATTTATATTCACACGCATAGATTTTTTCGCCATTAAAAGGCCACAACGAAAGCGGATTGTTCGTGTATATATTTATCAATAAAGCTTTAAGCATAAAGACACGCGTAAAAACACCAAAAATTTCATGCATATTGGATTTTTAAATCCGACCAACCGGGACGAACTTGCATAGAAATAATTTAAATGTGATTCGTAGCTTATGTGACGCAAATATGCGTTCTTGTGTTAAGTTTAATTTATATTATGACACGTCGAGTCACGTTACCAATTAAAATGTCGGAGAAATAATTAAAAAGCAGAAATGGAAAGATCAAGATTTGTTGTAATCTAAGAAAACGTGTGAAACAAACCCGATTTCCTCTTGATAAAAATATAGTTTTAATCAAATTAATGCAGCGGTGTTTCGTTGTAACATAATTATTTTTAAAAAATTAAATACGGTAACCCGATTTTAAAACTCGGTATAAAACTACCCAATCACAAACTGTTTCAGATAATAAGCAATTTTTAAATCTATTTTAATTTTCCAATCAGAAAAGGAGTTTCGTTCAAAAAATTGAATTTCCATAATTACCATTAAGAAGAGATTATTTAAATTTTTAAACCATCCAATGAACGAAATCTTCCAGAAGTTAACCAATAAGAAGATGGTTTGTATTTCCAAACGATTAAAAGAGTCGGCTATAAATTTGGTCCAAATATAGCCACTTTTTGAATAATTAAAACCGGTAGTGACTAATTAATTTTTAAAAATGTCTCGACGACAATGTTGACGAACGAGTTTATGTCGATACTGTTTAACTTACAACATAAACGATTCTATCGGTTGGAAAATGAATAATATATAAGTATAGAGATTGCACACGTTCGAGTACAGACGTAGTTTGTCGAGTCAATTTAAAGTATCGAAACAAAAACACATTTATATAACGTGTAGCAATTTTTTATGCTCGAAACGTCGACAAGATTACTTTTCAACGATTTCAAAGCAACGAGTTGGCATAACGGAGTCGCTCATTTCCCGAAACGGATAGACACCTTGTCAAACAACTTATCTATTGATCAGTAACCGAGATGCCTATCAACTAAGAGTATAAATCAGAAAATTTAATTAAATTTTACTTTAAGAATGCCGATTAGGAGAGCCAATCTTCACCAAGTGTTCATTATGTAGCGTATACAGCAGTGGCGATAATTTATATCCTAAATTACTCGTCTCGTGTACCAAGAACTGTTTTTTATATTTTAAATTGCGTTAATCTCTAACGTTGTAATGGCATCTTCTCCGAACTGCGTATCCCAGCCAATCCTTTAACAAGCTTAATTTTACAACATTTTATTTCTTTCATTTTGAAGTTACTTATAAACCACCAAAACATTTGTCCATTCCATTTTAACCACCTCGCCATCTGGTGGCAGAAAAACTAATTTTGCTTTAAATAAATAAATGAATATTTTTAATCTTCGATCGTTTATACATTTAAGATGAATTAATCTTAAGTAATTACGTGATATTTTACAATCATTTT